GTAAAAGTGACGCCACCAAAATTCAAACTTGATTTGTGTTTTGTGGTAATTAGCATTGTGTATAAGTGTCATAACGTTTGGTTGAGGCAAACTAAAGTAAGAGAACGGAAACGAAAAATTCAGCAATTTTTCCATTTGTGAAGGGGCATAACTCTAGAACGGTAACAGTGACGCCACCCAAAATTCGGACTTTATCTGTGTTTTGTGGTAATAAGCATTGCTTATAAGTTTCATAACATTTGGTTGAGGCAAACTAAAGTTAGAGAACGGAGACGTACGTACAGACGGACAAGGGTAAAACTTAATGCCCCCTCCGCTACGGCGGAGGCATAATAATTTATAAATAATGAGCAAATAAAAACAACAGAATGTGAGACATGTCTGTTATTCAAAGCGATGTCATAAACAAGGAAAATAAATGGACAACAATTTTGACTCTTTTTGAAATGTGCAAGTGGCTCTTAAAAGAGCCTTTTAATTTGTCACATGGACAATGAATCTGTAATCTTCTATGTAGACATTATCAACAGGTCAACATATTTAGAACATTTCTCAGTTCTTCTGCTTCCTTGGCCTTTTGATGAGCAAACTCGTAATAAACTTCACGGACACCATCGACTACTGCTATTCGGAGACGCAAGGTATACCGGAATGACCTATTTCCTTCTTTCTTGGCTCTTGTATATCGTCGCTCTAAGTTTGAAAGTCGATGATTCAGATGAACAATCTGTTCACAAGCTTTGCGAAAACGGCGCTCAACTACAGCAATGCGTTCCTGACATAAGGCAGCTTCCATGTTTATACTTCAAGTCGTTCTGGTGGCGGAGTCGAAGTAAATTATCGAATGATGATGATAATCGTGAAGGGTCGCCTTTTTATACAACATTTTTAAAAAGCATCAAAGAGGATTATTGAACCCTTCTATCTTTAGACAGGTTAATCTTTGATCTTTGAAAAATAAGCCCCAAAAGAATGTATAGGTATGGTTTCGTCGTCATTGATTATCTTGTTGAAATACTTACCTGTAAAAACATGGCTTCTCGTAAAAAATCAAACGATTTAAGTGTGTGATATGGTTTCATTTTGGCACCTTCTTAAAGTCTTTATTGTTTAATGAATTGATTATTCTTGTAGTTAAAGATCTATGAATATTAACTATACACAAATTAATGATTGTACGTACAGAAAAAATATGAACTAAATTATGAAATTTAAAAAATAAAAAAAGTGAAGATCTTGAACAACTTTTTGAGTTTTTCATTCTTTTTAAAAAAAAAAAAATTAAAATTAAAATTTTGTCAAATCCTGGAGCTGTCTGAAACGCGATTTTTAAGGATCGCCCCAGATCACCCAGTGTAAGTTTTAGTGATGTTGTAAAATATTTTATTTGCTTATAGTGGTAACAAAATTATCAAAAGTCTAGTCACCTTTTCATCCCAACATAATTATGAAAATCACACACATTAATGTGCTTATTTTTATGATACAGATTGTTTAAAATCTGCTAATAAAATAACATTTTTAACTGGACATATTTTAAATTGGAATATATTACATTTATTTTTATAACACAAACTTAAGATTATTTCAAGATGAACATTTAGTTTGAAAGAAAAGAATTCGTTCGCTCAACATTTAAAAAATATAAATGCAGTCTTTCGGAGCTATTCTTTATTATATTGTCACCTCCAGACTCTGCCTTCTGACTGTATATTTTACTGAGAATACTGATATAATTGAACTGTCTAACTATTAAACTGATGACGAAATTGATATTACACTGTTGAAACAATAGACAAGATGTGTGTAAATTTTGATATATTAAACAATGTATGTTACTGTCCCTATTCCCCCGTCCGTCCGTCCGTCCGTCCGTCTCATTTTTATGTGGTATACTTGTTTTTCATTTTAAATTCTTTGGATGTTTAAATGAGTTCTGTTGTTTCGACTTAACATTCATAATCTGATCATGATATTAGCACACTGGTTAGCCCCACTTGAATGATTTTCTGATTGTTCAGTACAGTACAGTCAAATCCCTTCTGAATCCCACAATGATTTGCATTAATCTAATGCAAATATATTCTCATTCGAGTCCACTTCCGCGAGTTAGTGTTTTATATTTTATTTCAATATTAACAAATAACAAACAAAGGTGATCCCGGTATTCATATTAGAACTAGCATATTCATAATGAGCTATAAACCTCAGAGATTTAAGTTTATATACTAGGTTTTTAATGATAGATGGACGACATATCTATAGAAATAATACTACAAAAATACAGAGGCAGTCTAAATAAGGATGATTGTGGGATTCTGGTGAACGTTAGTCTAAAATGCAAAGAACGTTGAAAGATGCTAAGCAGTTTTGCATAAATTGAATTATAGACTTAGATTGCCGAGCTTACTGGCACTTTAAGTTTCATTATATTTTGTATAATTATTTTAAGGTATAAAACATCAAGTTTAAGTTTAAGCATGCCTCAACATTGAATCTATTAACTTAATACCTAAGATTTAAATTCGGTTTATAGTCTAAAGGGAAATTAAGAAAGTCTTATAGTGTTTTAACCCTTAATAAATGCTAATATTCGTAAACAAATCCTCATTGATACTGGAATTAAAGTAGTTTGTTTTGACGATGCAGTGACTATATTAACACGACCCGTTTATTAGACAAAATGTTTGTTAGGATTTTAAGGAATTTCAAAACATGAACGATTCATCTCCGCATTAACCGTTCTTGACAGGATCGACAGAAATACAGCAAGTGGTGAATGTTACGCAACAAAAACAATGATAAGTCAGCCATTTTAGACAGGCATAAGTCTCTCTGGGATCGAAAAAGAAAACTCTTGATACGTCAATGTATCTAATTTCTAATAACTTACAAAGATAAAAAAGAAATTCTTGTCATGTGTATACCATTAACTAGATTTCCAATATTTATGACAATTGCTAAGTATCATCCCCGCAGTTGGATTTTATTTGCACCAGAAAACATATTTGTATACACAACTATGATGTAAATGTTGTGCTTAAAAATAAATCCTTTACACTGAGATTTCTTTAAATGATGGCATGTTTTCAATTTGTTGAAAGGCGCCATGTATTTTCCTAATTATATCTGCCTAATTTTTTCAAAGAAATAACTACTCTTGTTATTTTTTAAGTAACATATTGCACTGTTTGACAGTTTAAAAGCTTGTCGATGCATGGTCAAAGATTTGTTGTCCTTGTTTATTTTAAGTAACACCTGTCCCTGTTTATTTTAAATAAACCATATGATTGGAATGTATGCGAATTTGAAGATCTGCTGCTCAAAATCTCAAAAACAATGCGAATTCAGCAAAGTTTGATTTTTCATTTATCAAAAAAAAACTCAATAGATAGTGTCAATGATGAAATTACATGAAACTGTTCTTACAAGTATAGTTACGAGCACGAGAGTATGCGAACTCTTCCTATTTTCTTGCCTTTGAATATGTCTTGTACATTGTTATACCTATAGTTATGTAAACATATGTGAAAATCTTATCTATTTCCCGTTGTTACAAGATCAGACACGAAAGGAACTTTTTACACTTGTAGAGCCACGAATAGTTTTAAAGGAGGATTTTTCGTTCACTAATCTTTGTTAATTTGCAAATATTGTTCTTCTCTTTGTTGTTCCTACAACAGTGTTAAATTTGTCTTGTTATGTTACTGAACCTTCTTTCCGTTTTGATGTACGTGTAGTAGATATATCAACATATCGAGTTATTATTTATTCACCCTCGGGAAATAAAGTGATGGCTGTGTTAAAAAATATCGACGTCAGTTTTATGTATTAATGCTTGTCTTAAATTTTTTTTTTAAAAAACCAATACATATTGACTCCACTTTGTACAAATTCAATGTTATCGAGAAGTTTTTAATGACATCTTTTCTCAGATGTTTTTATTGAATGCCTTCAAAATTTTACAATGCTGCATATCTGTTTGATTTTTATCTTTTTAATTCAGCAATTCTACGTCTTTCTTAACCATTGCGATAACGACAATGTGGAATATTTAAACGAATTTAAACCGTAACCCTGGGGTAGATCGTATCACACATTGTATATGCTTTTCACACAAATCGTTTTCTCTGCAGAGAGAGAGTGCTTCTTAATTTAATGCCTGATAACTGAACATTTATCGCGACAATCTGCGAAAACATTTGGATATCAACAGACATTCTTCTTAAATCAGAAGCCAATTATTGTTTTATTTGACATATGGTCGAATATGCATGGAAGCAACAAACTGCAATAAACCAGTATCGTATGATATGAAAATTTTGGGGACATGAAAAGCTTTCTATCTTTTTTAAGTTTGAATATTGTTCAGCATATTATGGAAATTACATAATTTCTGTCAATTACATTAATATCTAAAAGCCTTGCTTAAGTCAGGCACGTTATAAATGTACGGTGGGTTTAAACATGATTGTAAGTATTAACCCATCCAGTGATATAACAAAACTGTAAAACTAAATTTAACAATTGTCATACAACTCCCCAGATTGCTAAAAAAAATCTAGAAAAAGAAAAAATTTGAAGTACCAAAGTGTAAATTTAAGAGAAGTCACCATTAAAAAAAAAATTTCAACAACCTATAATAAAATTTTACACTAGGATATTAATCAGTGCATCACCGATCTAATTTGGTTCAAAACATGATTAACAAAAAAAAAAGAAAACTGTCGCAAGCAAAGTCAGATACCTGACTACTTGAGAACAAAATGTCTCTGTATTTCTATACCCTTTTGTTCCATAGGCATGTATTACATATTGCACTTAAATGTATGGATAACACCGTCAATGTTTTTACAAATGAAAACAATATTTACTGTTGTTTCATTTTGAGGCTAAATTGATTTTGAAAGAATTTCATCCTTGAACATATTGGCTGTTTACTTTTAGATAGTGGTGCTGTCCATAGATTTGTTATATATAAATTCGCATGGAAAAATGTATTACTTTTTTCATTTTTATTTTTAAAAATGTAACAATTAACAGCTTTTCAACAATTCTATATCGGAACTATTTTATTAAAAATTTGACCCCTCGCTGGTACCGTAGAATCGGCATAAAGGTCATCAATTAGCCATATTTTGTTTTAAACCAGTTATTTTGTATTCGGAACCAAACTGAATGTTTGCTTTAAAGCACTGTATTATCGTGATATTGTCTGCACAAGATAATGGTCTTTTGTACATGTATATCACAGATGGTTAACATTAATAACCTCTATCATAAATCCAACAAGAACTGGAATGTGTTTATCACAGAGAAATATTCCAACGATTACCTTTAGACAACATTTTGCTGTGTTAGATGTCGACGTTAAGGTTTACAAATTTCATCCATTCCCATAAATCCAATAGATTATGCAGATTAACACAAGAATTGTCGTGCATGACACGGTTGTAGCGCGAGCAGAATTCATATTGCTTTCATCCTTGCTTAAATTATGACGAACTTCTATTCTGTGTTGTATACTGTCAGTTATCACATTATCTTCTGTTGTCGTCTGCGCTGTCGTTGAAGACGTCTGAAATATAGACAAAATAATGCACACAAAGTACACTTACATTTCCGGACGGTATTGTTAGTTGCATTGGTAGTACAAGGTTTGAAAACAAATTCACCGAGCTTATCGCCTGTTTCCTAGCGAGTTAAAATGATACACATATTTTTTTTAAATATTCCTGCAAGCAGAGATTTTATTTCAACACTACAATGTTGATTTCGTTTTTTACTATCAGCATTTGTGTATGTTTATCAAACCAAAAGCAACAGCAAATGACTGTCCGTGAGAAGCACGATGCCAGGAAATCACCGTCTAAGTCATCGTATAAGTTTATTGGTTCAATCGTGTGAAGGAAAATGGACGATTGCAGAAACAATAAGAGTAGACCACACAATATTAATGGTTTTGAAAATCTCACGCATATAAAAAAAAAATAAAATGCTTCGCTGAGCGCAGCTTGATACGACCACAGAGGTCGAACCCTGAACAGTTGGGTCAAGTTTGGACACAATATTCAAGCTTGATACTGTCTGAGGTCAAAAATATAGGTTTCTGACACAAAATAAATGTGGTCAAAGATCTTAAAAAATTGAAATGGGACATTTAATTTACCTAGAATGGTCTGATATCAAAAATCTTACAACAAGGTTAGATTCAGCATATAAAAAACACCAATAATTTAATTCAAGTTGAAATCAAACAAAGTTTAATTTTGGACCCTTCAAACCTTAATATGAACTAATTTGAAAACAGGGCCCAAAATAAAAATCTAAATGCACAATATGATTAAGCAAATCATACAGCCGCAATAATTCAGTTTTTGAAGAAATCAAACAAAGTTTAATTTTGGACCCTTTCGACCTCAATGTAGACCAATTCAAAAATGGGGCCTAATATCCAAAAAAATTATACAAGGTAAGAAATTAAAGACTTAATTAATCCCATCGAAATTGGTTAAAACATTTGTATTTGTTTTCAATTGAAGATTTCTTACTATTGTGCAATACTGTGCTATTTCCTGAACGTTTAGGGCAATGACCCCCAAACTCAATCCCAGCCTTCCCTTTATGGTATGGAACCTTGTAGTACAATTTAAGAGAGATCCATACACTTAAACACAAGTTATTGTCTGGAAACTAGAAACAATGCTTGTTTTTGTCCCCTTTTTTGCCCCTAATTCCTGAACGTTTGGGGCAATTACCCCCAAACTCAATCCCAGCCTTCCCTTTGTAATATGGAACCTTGTGGTACAATTTCAGAGAGATCCATACACTTACATACAAATTATTGTCCGGAAACTACAAACATGCTTTTGTAGTACAATTTTAGAGAGATCCATACACTTAAACACAAGTTATTGTCTGGAAACTAGAAAAATGCTTGTTTTTGGCCCCTTTTTTGCCCCTAATTCCTGAACGCTTGGGGCAATTACCCCCAAACTCAATTCCTTCCCTTTGTGATATGGAGCCTTGTGGTACAATTTCAGAGAGATCCATACACTTACACATAAATTATTGTCCGGAAACTACAAACATGCTTGCTTTTGGCCCCTTTTTGGTCTCTAATTCCTAAACTGTATGTACCATCACCCCCAAAATCAATCCAAACCTTCCTTTTGTGGTATTGAACCTTCTGGTAAAAATTCATAGAGATCCATTCACGTAAACTAAAGTTATTGTCCGGAAACCAAATGTGTCTTCGGACGACAACGACGACGCAGACGACGCAGACGACGACATCATAGCATTATACGACGCAAAAAATTTTTTGCGGTCGTATAAAACTCTGTTCTTGTTTCCTTTCAAATCACTGGTCTAAGAGGAAAGATTTCTATATCGTTATTGTGATCAAGTTATTCAATACAATTCAAAATAAATTAGGATGGTTATTATACCATTATATAAAACCTTCAAAAGTGCACTACAATACCTAGACCGTATTGAAAATGCAGTGGCTCTTTTCACAAATAATCTTACGAATAAAATTACTCATAAGTCTTGGACATTTAAGTATAACTTACGATCAGTTTTAATCTTAAGATTATTTTTGTGAAAAGAGCCGTTGCTCTTAAACAGTTGAATGATCTTGAATGTTAGAGGGTTACTAAAACCATGAAAATTCAAATTCTTTACTGATAATAAATAAAAGTATTATCTCGCATAGAAAGAAATGCTTATAACCATAAATAAAGATGTCAGACAAGTCTCGTTATCAGGTACAACAGGAAGCACCAGGAGAAAAGATCTTCTGTAACATATGTTGTAATATTTACATATATCATTGTTTTCTGGAATTATCAAAACTTATCTATACAATGAATACAACATATTGCAAACGGTTTTAACCTGTTTTACCCAAGTACCTTTCAGGCACATGCTGATGGTTGGTTTAAAACAAAAGGTTCTCAGATCATGGCAAGATAACAATTTATTCTGACTTCTTTGAAAGCATCGAACATTTATCATATCAATAGATCTGTTTCAAACAAGATGAAAATTAGAAAATGCACCTATGGATTGTTGAAGAGTTTTAGGATAACTGTTAGTTCACATTAAATTGGACTAACAAACACAATATGAATTCCTAATATTCATTCTATAATCTCAAAAGAGCGTGTGAATCGAACGGTGATAATCTGAAGATTTATGGTCAACGTTACAAAGGTTAACCGAGTTAACAAAATGTAAACGATTGCAGAATATTGTACGACTTGAAAACAAACTGATATTTATCAATATGTAAAAGAAACTTCCACCGCTAAAAACACAAAAAGTAAATTAATAAACATTATACATCAGAAGCGAATAGAAACAGACCACTTGGATCAAGTAAAACGATGAAAAACGATAAAACATTACTGTCAAACGCCATGCATAATTTGGTACGTTAAGAAGGAACGGACATTAAGAAAGAAGCAACACCCACAAGGAATACGCTTTTTTAAACAAAAAACAGAAAATATAGCCATGGTTTTCTTACTGTGAACCTTAATCACAAATATAACGACTAACATTATCTCTTTCTCCACCCAATCCTCTTAATACTTTCAAAAGTACAAAAAAAAATTAAAATAAAATAAATAGGGGACTAAAAAGAAAGTGCAGTTGTTATTAAATTTATCAATATATATATTTTTACATTTTGTCATACATGTTATATGAAAACTTTTGTAGTTTAAACTAGAGTTTAACAAGTTGAATGACTATGAGCCAATGCTTAGAAATATAAAGGGGGCTTTCTAGGAGACGGAAATTAAAATATACATATTACTTTTTATGTAGGCAAGTCGTCTTAAGCATAGAAAGATATTCGTTATCACGTGAAAGAACGTAACTTCACTATCTTACTATGTTCTTGCATGGAAATGTGACGTCTTTCCAAAATCGTGCAAATTTCACCAAAGAGGAAGTAAATAATATATAACAAGAGGCTGTCAGAGTGACAGCAAACCGGATTCCCTGCAGAGGTCGAACCTTGAACAGTTGGGCAAGTATGGACACTACATTTAAGCTTAACACAGCTCTGAATTTGGATTGTGATTGAATATATGACACAACATAGGTTTGTGACACAAAATAAATGTGGTCAAAGAACTGAAAAATTTGAAATTGGACATTTACCTATTATGATTCAATATCCAAAATCTAAGTACATTGTAAGAATCAGCATACATGTATCAAAGAACCCCAAGAATTCAATTTTTGATGAAATCAAATAAAAGTTTAATTTAGGACCCTTTGGACCTCAATGTGGACCAATTTGATAAAGGAGCCCAAAATCCAAAATCTCTAAATACATGGTTAGATTCAGCATTTCAAAGAACCACATAAACTAATTTGTTGAATCCATCAAAGTGACCCTGATTTGGACCAACTTGAAAACTGGGCCCAAAAAATCTAATATTTAAATACAGGTTTAGATTCCGCATTTGAAAGAACCCTATATATATTTAATTTATGTTGAAATGAAACACAGTTTAATAATATCCATATAATTTCCTGTTCAAAGGGAAATAACTCAAAACAATGATAAACACATAGTTCTCTAAAATTAGATATGATTTAACACTCTAAAATTAGATATTATGTTATATATATATAGATCTATTTTCAAATTATAATCAATAAAATAAGATATGACTTAACTACTAAAACATTGTTAGAATCAGCATATCAAAGAACCCCAAGAATTCAATTTTTGATGAAATTAAACCAAAATCAGAAATCTAAATATATGTTTATTAATAGACAATATAAGCTTAGTTTTTAAAAGAGTTCACTTCATCAAAAAAAAATTATATACATAGAATTCAGAAAATTAATTTATACAGAATAACAAACAAACCTACCACAAAATTCTTCAAACAATTTAACAAAGAAAAGAAAAAAAAATCCAAAATGTCATTTATCATTAACACAATGTCTTTTAAAAATCTATAAAAATTATCTGTAAGTGAAATCAAACTTTATAAAGATTACTAATCATTTCTGTTCAAAGGGAAATAACTCAATCACATTATATGTACCACTTTTAGCTATTGGAAAGGGAAATTACTCAACAACGAGAAAAGCTAAAATCGCGAAAATTGAACTTGACCTTCATTTAGTTACAGGAAACATCATATTTATATTTGAAAAAAAACGTCAAAGCGATTTCATGTTAATGAACGGACACTGTTTGGTAGCCGCCCGCCCGCCGTACATCCCCAAATCAATAACCGATTTTTCCTTCGGAAATCCGGTTAAAAATGCAAATAATTTAGTAAAAGTCATCATGAAGATGTGATATCATCAAAATCAATATATGTTGGAAATAGATTTCACTTAATAATACTTGATATTAAACCATACAATACATACAGCTTGGTATGAAAATCATCATTACTTTGAAAATGTATGAGGACATTGGATAATAGGACATATTCAGGTAAAATGTATGAGGACATTGGATGATAGGACATATTCAGGGTAAAATGTATGAGGACATTGGATGATAGGACATATTCAGGGTAAAATGTATGACGACATTGGACGATAGGGCATATTCAGGGTAAAATGTACGTGGACATTGGATGATAGGACATATTCAGGGTAAAATGTACGAGGACACTGGATGATAGGACATATTCAGGGTAAAATGTATGAGGACATTGGATGACAGGACATATTCAGGGTAAAATGTACGAGGACACTGGATGATAATACATATTCAGGGTAAAATGTATGAGGATATTGGATGATAGGACATATTCTGGTAAAGTGTATGAGGACATTGGATGATAGGACATATTCAGGGTAAAATGTATGACGACATTGGATGATAGGACATATTCAGGGTAAAATGTATGACGACATTGGATGATAGGACATATTCAGGGTAAAATGTATGCATGAGGACATTGGATGATAGGACATATTCAGGGTAAAATGTACGAGGACACTGGATGATAATACATATTCAGGGTAAAATGTACGAGGACATTGGATGATAGGACATAGTCTGGTAAAGTGTATGAGGACATTGGATGATAGGACATATTCAGGGTAAAATGTATGACGACATTGGATGATAGGACATATTCAGGGTAAAATGTATGACGACATTGGATGATAGGACATATTCAGGGTAAAATGTATGCATGAGGACATTGGATGATAGGACATATTCAGGGTAAAATGTACGAGGACACTGGATGATAGGACATATTCAGGGTAAAATGTATGAGGACATTGGATGATAGGACATATTCAGGGTAAAATGTATGACGACATTGGATGATAGGACATATTCAGGGTAAAATGTATGCATGAGGACATTGGATGATAGGACATATTCAGGGTAAAATGTATGAGGACATTGGATGATAGGACATATTCAGGGTAAAATGTATGACGACATTGGACGATAGGACATATTCAGAGTAAAATGTACGTGGACATTGGATGATAGGACATATTCAGGGTAAAATGTACGAGGACACTGGATGATAGGACATATTCAGGGTAAAATGTATGCATGAGGACATTGGATGTTAGGACATATTCAGGGTAAAATGTACGAGGACACTGGATGATAGGACATATTCAGGGTAAAATGTATGAGGACATTGCAATTGGATGATAGGACATATTCAGGGTAAAATGTATGAGGACATTGGATGATAGGACATATTTAGGGTAAAATAAAAAATCCACATATTTATCGTAAGCGTTTTCTTCGAAAATAATTTCAAAAGTTTTACAATATCGTGTTATTTCATGAACAGGCTCATAATTTCTTGTATATTTTTCTATCATTGAAAAAACATAACTCATTGCATAACATGATTTAATTATCTTTAATGCCAAATGTTTTAACACTACTGAAGTTTGAAACTCTGTCATATTCTGTTACAAGATGTATAGCGCTGAAGAGAATGAAGTGCATGCAACTTAAATATTTAGCCACTATATTTCGCAGCTGATGGAGACGTATTCATAGTGATAAGTGTGCAGTCCATCCAATTCGAAGTAGTACATATCAGTGAAGCTTACAAGTCAATAGCCAAAAAACAAAAAGACTATATCTACAAAACAGCACCATGCAGAAGCCCATTTTAACCAGGTGTGAGCTTGGTATCTAACATAACATTTAATTTGATGTTTCTTCTATATACAACCCCCCCCCCCCTGTATCTCTTATAGTTTTAAAGACAGGCACAGTTTTAAAAATCTGCAAAACGGTTAATATGTGAACACAAATAGTTAAGTGCCAATCTGCCTAAGAATCTGGCAGTGGTGAAAACATGACAAACAAAAACCCGCTCAACTTTACATTAATTTAAGTTCAGAATGTATAATGGATCATGAATATAACATTCGTTTCCTTTCCCTGTTCTGGTGATTCAAGATATAATTTGGTTGAAATGCTCTAGAAAATAACAATTAAGGGGAGATAACTCCGAAATTTGCTATCATTCTAACCAAAATTTATCTAGATATTTCTCGAAATACCAGACACGCAGAAACGAAAGACCTACCATTTCTAACTCAGGATGAGGGTACCTTCAAAATAGGGTGGTTAGGTCGGTGGGTTTTTTTCGGCCATGTTTTGATTTTTTTTTCTAAATTGCCCGATTCTTACAAAGACTGGCACTTAATCACATCTTCAATGTTAATAAAACCAGTAAAGAAAGAAGTCTTTTTTATTGAAAATTGTAGGAGAGGTTGATTTTAAAATGATCAAACTTCATCATAAATGTTGGTGAAATTGATTTGTTTTACCACCAGGAAAATCTCTCCAAATGTATACACAAAGTAAGGTACATATCTTAAATGTCAATCAAATATTATAGGAAGTTTGAATTCAAGGCTTTTTTGGTGATTACTATTTGATTTTGTAACTTTTCTTATTTCATATTAGAAATTCAGTGAATAAAAGTAAAGAAACTGTCTCCAGTACTCAAAATATAATAACTGCAAAATATTTGTATAACAATCTTACAAAGATATCTTTAATCTTGTATTGCACTTTCTTTTAAGAATGCTCAAGAAGAGCCACTGATAATTGACAATGCGGTCAAACCACATGCAAATAGAATGACTGAAGTTAATGATATTTACTACTTTTCTCCATATGAATAAATTTAAAATAAAAAAAACCCTAAGTAATCACGAATTAAAATTACACAAAAAAGTAATACACAAGTTAAAACATTTGATTTTATTTCATTACAGTTTTGTATGATGAAAAACATTGCAACATAAATGTTTCAATCTAGATATATGAACTCAACTGTTAAATCATGTCATGGTGGAATGCAAGTTGTGCAATTTTTCTGCTTTTAAATTTTTATGTTGTAAGAAAGCATATATTTCCCTGGTTTAAAAAAAATGAAAGTTATATAACGGTTCAAAACATCCTACTCTTTGAATAAGATAAAATTCCAACGTAAAACCAATATGATTGCAAGCGAACAAGAATTTTAATTTTTTTATCATGTCGTTTTCTGTGTCTTTAATGGCAATATCGTAATAATTGCTGACTGTAGATGTTACAGCGATCTTTTCTCGAATTTTTTGTTTCATTTTGTCATGTTTTGCTTACATCTACGTCATGTGGTCTCTGGTGAGTAGTTGTCTCATTGACAATCATGCGACATATCTTCTTATTATTTTTAGTTTGAACTGAATGCAGTACATATTCAACGAAACCAAACTATCATAATTGTCCAAAACAAGATTTAATATTTAACACGACAGACCTGGATGTTACCGCCACATTCTTATGCTCTATGTTTTATATGTACTTCAACATTATAACGAAACCTATAATGCTTAAAAATCCGGTTGTACTGAGCATTAGAGACGTTTTGAACAAACCAGTTTGAAAACAATTGAAAGGGCATGGGGCGATTTAGAACTAAGCGTATGGTATAGACAGCTTTTTTTATATATATATACTATATGATGACATGTAGATGTCGTCTGGTTATTTCTGTCGCTATTCTTATCCTTTGACTTATATATACCCCGCTTGTTTTAAATATATTGAACTAACGTGTCGTTGATTTCTCTGTAAATTTTACCAAAACAGGAATTTTTGGGTTTCGTCCATTGAACTGTTATTGTTTACAACTTTGTCTTTATCTTTGCATATGGAAAGTGACTCTTTTTCGCAATCTACCACGTCGTCTTATTTTTATAACTTTTAATGTCACCATGTAAAAGTTACAAATACATTGAGTAAATGTCTTGACCGAAGCCACATTTATAAAACTGTCAGATTTCAACACGAGTGTGGAATATTGTGAGCCGTGATATGCCGCCATCTCGCTATACATTATACCAGAACCAGAATGACTTACCATAACAATGTGATAATCATGATTAGGGTCAGGGAGGTTGCTCCGTCTTACCATATGTTTAACAAGAACCAGGATTACTTACCATTACAATGTGTTAATCATGATTAAGGTCATAGAGGTTGCTCCGTCTTACCATATGTTAAACAAGAACCAGAATGACTTACCATTACAATGTGTGAATCATGATTAAAGTCACAGAGGTTGCTCCGACTTACCATAGGTTTAACAAGAACCAGAGTAACTTGCAATTTCAATGTTTGAATCATGATTAAGGTCATAAAGGTTGCTCCGTCTTCCCATAGGTTTAACAAGAACCAGAATGACTTACCAGTAAAATGTGTTAATCATGATTAAGGTCATAGAGGTTGCTCCGTCTCACCATAGGTTTAACAAGAACCAGTATGACTTACCATTACAATGTGTTAATTATGATTAAGGTCACAGAAGTTGATCCGTCTTACTGTATGTTTAACAAGAACCAGTATGACTTACTACTACAATGTATGAATCAAGATTAACGTCACAAAGGTTGCATCGTCTTACCATAGAATGACTTGCCATTACAATGTGTGAATCATGATTAAGGTCACAGAGGTTGCTCTGTCTTACCATAGGTTTAACAAGGACCAGAATGACTTACCATTAAAATGTGTGAATCATGATTAAGGTCACAGAGGTTGCTCCGTCTTACCATAGGTTTAACAAGAATGGGAACCAAACCAGCTGCTTCCTCGTTACACCTTCTCTTTATTTTTGTTTGTATACAGTTTAAAGTTTTCCTAAAATCTCTAAAAATATTAAAAAAATGTAATGATAAGGATTATATGCATATGAAAAATATCTATAGCAAAACAAAATAGAAAAGGTATTATCTTACCTCCTATACATTTCTAGGAATATGATTGGTTAAAAGCGACCGCGTGGAGACCCTGTATATTTCATATGGATTAGTAGTCGGTTTTTTTATACAGGGATAGTAGTGGTGTTACGTCCCTTTATAAAAACGACACGGCGTCGAGGACCGACCAACAGATAAAGAACTTGATGATGAACGATTGAAATAAATTCAGAAAACACATTACAAAGCTATAGGCCATTAGTCGAAATGCCTCATGTTAAAATAGTCGGTAAGATCGCTCTCACCCCATATGGAATTTACTGACCCTATATATATCGTATTAGGTCACTAGCAAACTGTGTAACTAATAATATGTGTTCACCTGGACGCTGTATTTTTAACTTCAATGTTTGTCAGTCTGTAACTTTGATTTGTATGATATTTAGACTGCATGACTATATTATAATATATTACTCGAAGTCCATACAACTAATTATAACCCTCTAAAAATTAAAAAAAATAATGTGGATAGTGTCCACATGCGGACACAGATGATGCCCCCGCTTGCATATCATATAGTTATAAAGGGACATAACTGAAGAACGGTAAAAGTGACGCTACCCAAATTTGAACTTGATCTGAGTTTTGTGGTAATAAGCATTGAGTGTAAGTCTCATATCATTTGGTTGAGGCTAACTTAAGTAGAGAACAGAAACTAAAAATTCAGCAATTTTTCTATTTGTAAACACGCATAACTCTAGAACGGTTGTGTATAAGTTTTATAACATTTGGTTGAGACAAACTAAAGTTAGAGAACGGAAACGAAAAATTCAGCAATTTTTATGTTTATAAAGGGACATAACCCAAGAATGGTAAAAGTGTCGCCACCAAATTTCGTACTTAATCTGTATTATGTAGTAATAAGCATTGTGTATAAGTTTCATAACATTTGGTTGAGGCAAACTAAAGTTAGAAAACGGAAACAAATAAAAAATGATCTTAGTTTTGTGGTAATGCATATTGTGTGTAGGTTTCATAATGTTTGGTTGGGGCAAACTTAAGTTACAGAATGGAAACTAAACATTTTGCAATCTTTCGATTTATAAAGGGCATAACTCAATAATGGTTAAAGTGACACTACCCAAATTCAACTTGATCTGTGTTTTATCAGTGGAAGTCAAAATTAAACATTACATTGTATAAAGCGATCATTGTAGTTGATTCAACTATAATCATGGACAAAGAAAGATAACTCCAATTTTAAAAATAACTTGATATTTAGAAGAAAATAAAAATTTTGCAATTTTTCCATTTATGAAGGAGCATAACTCTAGAACAGTTAAAGTGACGCCACCAAAATTCAAACTTGATCTGTGTTTTGTGGTAATAAGCATTGTGTTTAAGTTTCATAACATTTGGTTGAGGCAAACTTAAGTTAGAGAACGGAAACTAAAGATTTGCAATTTTTCCATTTATAAAGGGGCATAATTCTAGAACGGTTAAAGTGACGCCACCAAAATTCAAACTTGATTTGTGTTTTGTGGTAATAAGCATTGTGTATAAGTGTCATAATATTTGATTGAGGCAAACTCAAGTTAGAGAACGGAAACCAATTTTGGGACGTACGTTCGTGTACGTACGTACAGACGGACAAGGGTAAACCTTAATGCCCCCACCGCTACGGCGGGGGCATAAAAAAACGTATTTTCCTAGACCGAATCATGGTTTTAAATAGGCCAATTTTTGTTTTCAATGCTCTTAAACTACCTACTTGATTTGGCCCTTCATCTTTCTTTTTTTTTGGGGCGTCACTGATGTGTCCAGTGTAGACAAAACGCTCGTCTTGCGTAACAATTATAATCCTGATATCTTTGAGATTCTTTAAGTATTCTGTTTTAAACGCAATTGCTGTATTCAAATAGATATTTTTTAATCTTTAAATCACTGGTACGTTTGAGAAGAATTTTACAATGTTTCTACTTACCTACATAGCTGAGGTAGTGATTTGTCGTCAAATCGTGACATAAGTCTAACAGAAGTGTTCATTGTGTCCTCAAAACATCGTTCGGAATAACTTCCAGACGTCAGGAAACACGTCATATGTCTGGCATAAACTGCAATAAAGAATAACTCCCAGATGTCAGGAAACACGTCATGTGTCGGGTATAAACTGCAATAAAGAATAACTCCCAGACGTCAGGAAACACGTCATATGTCTGGCATACACTAAAATAAAGAATAACTTCCAGACGTCAGAAAACACGTCATGTGTCGGGTATGAACTACAACAAAGAATAATTTTCAGACGTCAGGAAACACGTCATATGTCTGGCATACACTACAACAAAGAATAACTTTCAGACGTCAGGAAACACGTCATATGTCTGACATACACTACAATAAAGAATAACTTCCACACGTCAGGCAACACGTCATATGCCTGGCATAAACTACAATAAAGAATAACTTCAAAACATCAGAAAACGCGTCATATGTCTGGCATAGACTACAATAAAGAATAACTGTTTTTTAATACGGATTAGCCATGTATAAATACATGATATATTGTATCTATTAATTTCAGGGACCATATACTGGTACTCATATCAAAAACGGAGTTTAATCTTAAGGTAAGATCGAGACAAACAGTTGTTATATCCAAATATACATAAAAAAAATGTAGCAGTGGAAAAAAAAGAGATTAAAAAACCAAGCAGAAAACTAGCAACTAGCAATAATCAGTTAAAAGAGCACATGTTGAGTACGTATGTATGAGATAACAAACCTTTTTCAAAAACTGACATCTAGGGCTTACTATACATTTTCAAGAGCCGCATTATTGGAAGTTCTAAATCGTTCAATATCTGTACAAGTTGCGAATAACCCATTCAGGGCGATCGGAGATATCGCAACAACATCAAGTACTTGAAAAAGACAAGAACTTAAAAATAGACAAGTGCTATAATTGTTTTACTAAGAATAATTACATAATTGATAAGATAGAAACTTTAAGTGAAGAATAATGTAATAAATTATGCTATTGCTGAAGTACTTATGTCTTTAAAATACATTCCATTGCGTAAACTCAAAGAAAATTGTTCAAAACGCCAGATATGCATTTGAAATCAAACAGGATAGATCAATTTTGCCATATCTTAACTTAAAAATTTATAATGTTTTTTACACAATCAAATAAAAGTATTTTTATGATATTAACAATGTCTTTTTTTCAGGATTTTTATAAGGTCTAATAGGCTTATAAAGGTCATAAGTCACAATAAAACTATAGGTGATACACCCTCCTTCTACATGATATACCGAAAATTAGCTTTATATATATTTAAGTGGTCTAATGACAGCGATAAGTGACGAAAATTGTCATTTCATAACAAATTCAAGTGGTTTCACTTACATTAAAAATATGTCATTTCAAACAAAACTCATTATGTAAAAGAATTCAAAATATTATAAATTTTGTCCGACCAAAGCGCTTTTATGGATTAACCTTCGTCATTTACGCTCAAATCTTAAAAAACAAATTGAAAGCCAAGTATAAGTACTTGAATACACTTGAGGAGCAATGTGACAAAAAGGGACCAATGGTTAATAACTTCTATGTCATTTGGTCTCTGGTAGAAAGTTGTCTCATTTCAATTATACCACTTTTTCTTATTCTTATATTTATAATAAATAAGAAGATGTGGTATGAGTGGTTGGTCAAAGTACGGCCTTCAACACGGAGCCTTGGCTCACACCGAACAGCAAGCTATAAAGGGCCCCAACATGTCTAGTGTAAAACAATTCAAACAGGAAAACCAACGGTCTAATCTATATAAAAAACGAGAAACGAGAAACACCTATGAACCACACTCACAAACGACAACCACTGAACAACGGACTCCTGACTTAGGACAGGTGCATAAAAATGCAGCGGTTTAAACATTTTAACAGGCGCCAACCTTCACCCTAACCTGAGACAGTAGTGTAGCATTACAACATAAAATGACACACTATAAAATATCAATTGAAATTGCTTAACTCGATCAAAAAGACATTTTAAGAAAACAAGTAACTATACACTGAACGAATAAGTTTGATCTATGACACAATATAAATACAGTATTAAAACGTAGGTGCCTATATAACATAGACGTTACAGGTAGTAATAAAAAAGATGTAGGAAGAGTGTAAATAAGACAACTCTTACCTGGGACAAAATGGCGTTAAAAACTTAAATAAAACGACGTACACAGATAAATCTAAATATAATAATTAACAAATTTGTTGTTCAGAGCACGAGTACAAAAGTGAAAATTTATCGTCATACTACATACTTATCAAAGGTGGTACATATTAAAAATAGTGAGACGAGATACAACACAAAATAAGTAAACATTGGATTACAGAAATGCATTATAAAATTGTGTCAACAGGTCAAATTAACACGAAAGTAAGATTTGAGAGTACTCGCAGTTACTGAAAGCTAGTTAAAAGCCAAAAACAATAAACAATAAAAAAAATCATGCATTAGAGACTGAAATCAATTAAAACACATCCCAGGTATGTAGTGTTTTAACGCCATGGACAGTCAGAGAAGACATGACTTGTGCAATGCCGAAATAAATGTATCGACAGGCAGTAGGATCGTTAGGATTTAACCTTATAACAAATATGTATCATGTTATATTTAGATAAAGCAATCTCTAAATAGAAAATTAACGTGGATCTGTATTTATACATCCCAAAAACCATTCGAAAAGAATACAAATTTAGTTATGTTTTAATTTATTGATGACAAAATCGATGTTAGTGCCAATGTAAACAATACTAGTATTCAAAGATCTTATTACAACATTAATAAGATAATTGCATGAATTGCCAACTCCATCTCAGGAAATGGAACCTTAGTTTCCTAATATTTTTCAAATTTATTAGCAGATATTCAAGAAAGGTAAAGTATGAATCATGTCAGTAACGAAGCACTGACTACTGAGCTCATGATACCATCGGGGACCAACAGTCCATCAGCAACAGTAACGTGATGTGTACAAATGCTTAACACCTTATAATAACTATATACCATTTTTTATATATATATAAATACCAAACATCAGCTTAATAGTTCCAAGGAAAGGTAACGAATACGAAACATTCATCGGATGTTTGATACCAATATGCCCAGTGATGTTGGAGGAGGTTGCCAACGAATGCCAAGTGACGAAGAAAAGAATACATGATCCATTCGATCATGTGACCTAAAAATATATTAAAACTTTGAACATCAAGTTTAAGCTTGGTCGCCGTCTGTCATAATTGTTTTTCGTTTATTGATTTTAGCTAAAATCAACCCGTCGGTTTTCATCTTTTGAATTGTTTCACGGTTTGTCATCCACGAGCATTGTATAGCTTCCTTCACGATGTCGGCTTTTCCCCTGTAAAAGACCTTACTTTCACCTGTAGTTTTAAACTCGCTGTCCTTTGGTCTTTGCCCAATATTTGTCACCTTGTCAATCATACAAAATATCCATATTTCTATATCAAAGAAATAAAGTAGATGAAGCCAGATAATTATGAGGTTATATAAAAGCTTAAATATTACGAGTATTACACATAAATAACGCAAAAAAGACTTCCTTTGGAACCCCCTATCACCCTCAGCTTTAAAATTTTGTCTTGGTTTCTCATCGTGAAAAGCACACAATGTTTCACATCACTGATTCAAAAAATAAGCCCTTGATAACTTCAAACGGTTTCTGAGTTTTAATTAGCTGATGTTTTTTACTTTCTTACCTTCGTATAAGGCATCATCTTTACACAATTCGCTAAGTTCTTCTCTCGCTCCTTCAAAATGAAACAATGTAACTTCTATCTTTTCATGCAGTGTGGATGGGCATTTTTTCTTCAAAGTATCTACACATGTCATTGACTGAATATATGAACTGTAAAGTAAATGAAACCGATTTACGCTAACTTTTCTTCTAGTATTAGTAATAACAAATACCCATACATATCTAAATCTATAGCGCTGTAGAATATTCATATTTCATTATAAATATAGATATTATGAAAAGTCTAAAGTAAAAGAAATAAATAGGGAAGGTGTCCATGGCACACAAATGATGCTCCCGCTTGCATATAACGTTATAAAGGGACATAACTTAGGAACAGTAAAAGTGACGCTACCAAAATTTGTACTTGATCTGAGTTTTGTGGAAATAAGCTTTGTGTATAAGTTTCATAACATTCGGTTGAGGCAAACTTAAGTTAGCATGGTAAGAGAACGGAAACGAAAAATTCAGCAATTTTTTTATTTGCAAAGGGGCATAACTCTAGAACCGTAAAAGTGACGTCACCAAAATTCAAATTTTATCTGTGTTTTATGGTAATAAGCATTGCGCATAAGTTTCATAACATTTAGTTGAGGCAAACTTAAGTTAGAGAACGGAAACGAAAAATTAAGCAATTTTTCCATTTGTAAAGATGAAGAACTCTAAAACGGTAAAAGTGACGCCACCAAAATTCAAAAACTTGATCTGTGTTTTTGTGGTAATAAGCATTGTGTATAAGTTACATAACATTTGGCTGAGGCAAACTAAAGTAAGAGAAAGGAAACGAAAAATTCAGCAATTTTTTCATTTCTGATGGGGATTAACTCTAGAACGGTAAAAGTGACGCCACCAAAATTCACACTTGATCTGTGTTTTGTGGTAATAAGCATTGTATATAAGTTACATAAAATTTGGTTGAGGCAAACTAAAGTCAGAGAACGGAAACAAAAATTAAGCATTTTTTCCATTTGTAAAGGAGCATAACTCTAAAACGGTAAAAGTGACGCCACCAAAATTCAATAAAATGCTTCGCTGGGCACAGCTTGATACGACCGCAGAGGTCGAACCCTGAACAGTTGGGGCAAGTATGGACACAACATTCAAGCTTGATACAGCTCTGAATTTGGATTGTGATTAAATATTTGACACAGCATAGGTTTCTGACACAGAAAGAATGTGGTCTAAGAACTTCAATTCTTTTAATTTACCTATTATGGTCAAATGTCCAAAATAAAAATACATGGTTAGATTCAGCATATCAAAGAACCCCATATATTCAATTTTTGTTGAAATCAAACAAAGTTTAATTTTGGACCCCAACTTGGACCAACTTGAAAACTGGTCCCATAATCAAAAATCTAAACACATGTTTAGATTCAGCATATCAAAGTACCCCAAGAATTCAATTTTTGTTAAAATCAAACTAAGTTTAATTTTGGACCCTTTGGACCTTAATGTAGACCAATTTAAAAAAACGGGACCCAAAATTAAAAATCTAAAAACACGGCTAGATTTGGCATATCAAAAAACCCCAATAATTCAATTTTTGATGAAATCAAACAAAGTTTAGTTTTGGACCCTTTTGACCTCAATTTGAACCAATTTGATAGCGGGCCCACAAATAAAAAATCTAAATACATGGTAAGATTCAGCATATCAAAGAACCCCATATATTCAATTTTTGTTGAAATCAAACAAAGTTTAATTTTGGACCCCAATTTGGACCAACTTGAAAACTGGGCCAAAAATCTAAAATCTAAATACATGTTTAGATTCAGCATATCAAAGAACCCCATATATTCAATTTTTGTTGAAATCAAACAAAGTTTAATTTTGGACCCCAACTTGGACCAACTTGAAAACTGGCCCATAATCAAAAATCTAAACACATGTTTAGATTCAGCATATCAAAGAACCCCAAGAATTCAATTTTTGTTAAAATCAAACTAAGTTTAATTTTGGACCCTTTGGACCTTAATGTAGACCAATTTAAAAAACGGGACCCAAAATTAAAAATCTAAATACACGGTTAGATTTGGCATATCAAAGAACCCCAATAATTCAATTTTTGATGAAATCAAACAAAGTTTAATTTTGGACCCTTTTGACCTCAATATGAACCAATTTGATAGCAGGGTCCACAAATAAAAAATCTAAATACATGGTTAGATTCAGCATATCAAAGAACCCCATATATTCAATTTTTGTTGAAATCAAACAAAGTTTAATTTTGGACCCCAATTTGGACCAACTTGAAAACTAAGCCAAAAATCTAAAATCTAAATACATGTTTAGATTCAGCATATCAAAGAACCCCATATATTCAATTTTTGTTAAAATCAAACAAAGTTTAATTTTGGACCCTTTGGACCTTAATGTAGACCAATTTGAAAACTGGACCCAAAATTAATAAAATGCTCCGCAGGGCGCAGCTTGATACGACCGCAGAGGTCGAACCCTGAACAGTTGGGGCAAGTATGGACACAACATTCAAGCTTGATACAGCTCTGAATTTGGATTGTGATTAAATATTTGACACAGCATAGGTTTCTGACACAGAATGAATGTGGTCTAAGAACTTAAAAATTTTAAATTGGACATTCACCTATTATGGTCCAATATCCAAAATCTAAATACATGGTTAGATTCAGCATATCAAAGAACCCCAAGAATTCAATTTTTGATGAAATCAAACAAAGTTTAATTTTGGACCCTTTTGACCTCAATGTGGACAAAGTTGATAACGGGGCCCAAAAATCAAAAATCTAAATACATGGTTAGATTCAGCATATCAAAGAACCCCATATATTCAATTTTTGTTGAAATCAAACAAAGTTTAATTTTGGACCCCGATTTGGACCAACTTGAAAACTGGGCCCATAATCAAAAATCTAAATACATGTTTAGATTCAGCATATCAAAGAACCCCAAAAATTCAATTTTTGTTAAAATCAAACTAAGTTTAATTTTGGACCCTTTGGACCTTAATGTAGACCAATTTGAAAACGGAACCAAAAATTAAGAATCTAAATACACGATTAGATTCGGCATATCAAAGAACCCCAATAATTCAATTTTTGATGAAATCAAACAAAGTTAAATTTTTGACCCTTTGGACCTCAATGTGGACCAATTTAAAAACGGGGCCAAAAATCCAAAAACTTAATACACGGTCAGATTCAGCATATTAAAGAACCCCAAGAATTCAAGAATAAAACCCCATTGAAATTGATCAAGAAATAAGCAATTTATACGAAGTATCTTCTTTTGCACAATACTGTGCAATTGAATATTTCTTGCTATTGTGCAATACTGTACAATTGACAATTTCTTACAATTTCTTGCTATTGCACAATATTGTGCTATTGGATATTTCTTGCTATTGCGCAATACTGTGCAATTGAAGATTTCTTGCTATTGCGCAATACTGTGCAATTGAAGATTTCTTGCTATTGTGCAATACTGTGCAATTGAAAATTTCTTGCTATTGCACAATACTTATTATATGATAATTTACACATCCTGTTTGGTGTGTATCTCCTACCATATCATTATTATTTGCTTTTAAATATTAATCAGAAATAACCAACTTAAAATGGAAAATTTTAAAAGAAAAAAAAAAGGAAAAAAAGAAAAAAAAAGAAAAAAAAAAAATCCCCCCCCCAAATTTTTTGAACCCCCTTATGATTCATCACCCCCAAACTCAATCCCAGCCTTCCCTTTGTGGTATGGTACCTTGCAGTACAATTTCAGAGAGATCCATACACTTGAACACAAGTTATTGTCTGGAAACTAGAAAAATGCTTATTTTTGGCCCCTTTTTGGCACCCAATTCCTAAACGTTTCGGGCAATTACCCCCAAACTAAATTCCAGCTTTCCCTTTGTGATATAGAACCTTGTAGTACTATTTCAGAAATATCCAAACACTTACACACAAGTTATTGTCATGAAACTAGAAAAATGCTTGTTTTTTGCCCCTTTTTTGGCCCCTAATTCCTAAAATTTTGAGGCAATTACCCCCAAAATCAATCCCAACCTTCCTTTCGTGGTATTGAACCTTATGGTAAAATTTCATGGAGATCCATTCACTTAAACTAAAGTTAAAGTGCGAAAACCAATTTGTCTTCGGACGACGCCGGACGACGCCAGACGACGACGACGACGACGACGACGACGACGACGACGACGACGACGACGACGCCAACGTCATACCAATATACGACCAAAAAATTTTTAATTTTTGCGGTCGTATAAAAATCTAAATACACGGTTAGATTCGGCATAACAAATAAATAAATGTGGTCAAAGATTTTACAAATCTAATGCGCCATACTGGTCTTCCTTTATAAATATGCATTTCTTTAAACATAATTTAAAAGCAGTGTAAGGGAAGTAACCAAAACGTTGTATTTGGATTACCTCCCTTACACTGTTTTAAATTATCTTAATTGTTCATTAACCATTACTTTATACATAATTTAAAAGCAGTGTAAGGGAGATAATTTCAATGATGTATTTGATTTATCTCCCTTACACTGCTTTAAATTATGTTTTGTACTAAAGTATTTGTCCATTAATGAGGACAACCTTGTTTTTCCCCCTTTTTTGCACCTAATTCTTAAACGGTTTGAGCAATAACCCCCCAAAGCAAATCCTAACCATCCCTTTGTGGTATGGAAACTTGTAGTATAATTTCAGAGAGATCCATACACCGTTCCACAGTTATTGTCTGGAAACTAGAAAATGCTTATTTTTGGCCCCTTTTTGGCCCCTAATTCCTTAACTGTTGGCACCTTAACCCCAAAAATCAATCCCCACCTTCCTTTTGTGGTATTGAACCTTATGGTAAAATTTCATAGAGATCCATTCACTTAAACTAAAGTTAGAGTGCGTAAAAAAAAATGCGTCTTCGGACGACGACGCCGGACGACGACGACGACGCCGGACGACGACGACGACGACGACGACGACGACGACGCCAACGTCATACCAATATACGACCACAAAAATTTGTTTGCGGTCGTATAAAAACTTGATCTGTGTTTTTGTGGTAATAAGCATTGTGTACAATGTATAAGTTACATAACATTTGGTTGAGGCAAACTAAAGT